AACTTCAAACTTCATTTAAAGTTGAGGATTCTCATTCCTCTACCTTGGGCCTGCTCTGGCTTGGCCTAGTATAATGGGAATAGGGAGCATAGTTGGCTTCTTTTTAATTGTCCCTCTTGGAATTCTTCCCTACTCTCACCTCCCACTGTCTCCTTAGGGGAATGATGCCAAGAGTGTGGGGTTATGAGAAAGAAGAGATGGATACAGTCAGGGCAGAATGCAATCTTGATTTGATTTCCTGTGGGCATGTTTCTGTTTGATCCTTCCTGACACTGATGGAAACTGGCTTCCCTGGGATGTTCTGATAGACTTTGGCATACTCTCTGGGAGGATTCAATGGCATATTCCATCACACAGGATGCTTCTGGTTGGACTTAAATATCCAACCTCAAACCCTGGAAGTCCATTCACTCCTCCTCCCACATACAATGAAAGCGAGCTGTGAAACTGTTCCCTGGTCTCTTTCTCTTCCTCATGGCCCACATATGATCCACATGAGCTTAACTATTCTTTTTAAAGTTTTGTTTTATTTTTAATTGACAAATATTAATCAAATGTGTATATATATATATATATATATATATATATATATATATATATATATATATATATGGATATGTGGGCCCAGATGTTAAGTGGCCCTGACTCTCTGGACCTCTCTTTCTAATGTCCTCTAAATTTTAGGACTCACAATAATATCTCCCCTGATAACTCTTCTCAGATGGGAAAGAAGGGAATGAAACCCAAAATTAAATAAATCCTGTTTCAACTCTTCAGCTCCTACCTAGCCTTCAAGAACATAACAGCTAAGTACTGGTTTAACCCCGCTGATAGTCTCTCAGGACTTTCTGCCTACGTAGTTCAGCTTCTTGCTTTTAGATGTGTGGTTCCTGTCAACTATCATGAATGTTCTAGTCTGTAGGCCTCTATCAGAACTTGTGATAGGGAAAAGGACTCACCATCCATCATATGAAGGCCTGGAGGTCCCAAACCTGTATCCCCCCTCCTTCTCTGTACCCTTGGGACTTTGGATAAGATCTGATAGTCTAGGTTTAGCACTGGAAGAATGATATCTTTCTTGCCAATTTTAGAGCCCGGATGCAAAGAACAAGAACGAAGATGGATGGAACAGTACTTAATGCACAAAAAGTCTATTAGAGAAAAATGTAACTTATTGTTAAGATACAAAAATAGCAATTTTATCTGAAGCAGTCCATCTTTGATCTATTCCCTTCCTCTCTAATACATATTCTAAACCTGGTAGAGGAAGGACATGATTTTCATGGGCATCAACAAAAAGACATGGAAAAAGTAAACATTACTCTCTACTGATGCATCTTCCTAAAAACCCAGTGCTTGACTACTATAATGCATAGAAATCTAGGAGAAGAAATATTTGAGGTTTCAACACTTCATCTCACTTTCTCCCACAACCCAGAAGCCAGGTGGAAATCAAAAATAAATGTTTTTGTTCGTTTGTTTGTCTTGCAGGGGTGGGGGCTGTTTGTTTTTTGGCACAGAGAATTGAACCCAGGAGCACTTTACCACTCAGCTGCATCCCCAGACTTTTTTATATTTTATCTTGAGATAGGGTCTCACTAAGTTGCTTACAGCCTTGTTAGCTAAACTGTTGAGGCTGGCTTTGAACTTGAGACCCTCCTGCCTCGGCCTCCCCAAGACAATGGGATAACAACTCCTTTTGCCAGGCTCCACCACGCCTGGCAAAAATAAATATTTTTAAAGGCCAAAGACCCTAATTACATGTCAGACAATGCCTATCTTGCCAGCTTTCTCTTTGTTTGCTCACAGCCCCACACTCAAGAACGCATGGGTTTAGAGGGGCGGGAGTGAAGCAGGGTGGCTCTTGACTAAGTTGAGCATCACACTTCACATGCTAGCTAATGACCAGCAAGGCAGCTTGGTGCAAAGGGAAAGAAAGTTGGGTGGAAACTGACAAATCTCAGATTGCTCCTGAGATTTAGGCCTCAGGGCAAGAGAAAACCCTGAGCACAGATAAAGATTCCAAGAAAGACAGTGTGTTTGTGTATGTGTCCGAGAAAGTGGAGTGTCGAGGAAAATGTCTTGCTTTAGAGCTCTCTTGGTTTTGATAAATTTCCTTGTTCTATATCTGGGCAGCTATAACTTTATAATAAATCCCTATTTTTCAGGTTGTTCTTACCATTCTCTGTCCATTCTAATTATAAGAGAAAGGGAGGAAACACTACCGCCACAATAAGCAAATTCATTCCTCTCACCCTGGAAAACAAAGTATCTTCTAGAACAATTTCCAGTGTTGAAAAATGGATATTCTTAGGCCAGCGCTACTTCAAAAGCTGATCTGAGAGTAGCCCAGCCTTCGGGGGCAGACAATGATATAAAACCCAGTCTTCTTAGCACATTCACATCCATCTTTGTCAAATAACCTTCTCTTCAGGCCCAGAGGCCATCCTCTAAGGCTGAATTGGGTCTTCATCTAGCTCCAAAGCTGCTGGCATTATAGAAGGCAATTTGGGGTCTTTCAGAAGAAGAGCTCTTGCCTCATACAAGTAACCAAGCAGTAACTCACTCACAGCAATTCAAACAGGAATTACTTAGCAATGCATGTGCTTTTTTGTAAATGGACCTTAAAGATATTATCAGAATATCAATAGTATGTTTTAATTTCTTGCAACTTCACTACCTTGAGACAAGTACAAATGATTTAAGATCAAAGACTTGTGTTCAAACTCCTGTTTTTCCAGTCCCTACCTGTGTTGGCTTTAAGTTGCTTAACATCTAGGAGTCTCCTTCCTCTCCTCTATAAAATAAGTGATGATAGTGCCACTTCACAGGATTATTATGGAGGGCAAAGAATGCAGCCAGCAAGATGCTTTTGAAGCAATATCAATATCAAAATAATAATAACAATTTCTTGAGCACTTGCTACGTGCCAGTGCTGTATTTTGGATACTGAATATCCCTCAAAGGCCTATGTGTTAAGTGCTCCATCCCCAAGATGGCAGTACTGGGACGCACTGGGGATCTTTAAGAGGAGGGCCTAGTCATTGGGGGAATGCCATCAGAAGGGACAGGGGTATTCAAAGCCAGCCTCAGCAACTTAGTAAGACCCTGTCTCAAAAAATAAAAAGGGCTAGGGATGTGGCTCAGTGGTTAAGAGTTTCTGGGTTCAATCCCCAGTAACAAGAAAAGAAAAAGAAAGAAAGAGACAGAGGTAGGGAAAGAGGGAAAAGGGAGGGAGGAGAGGGGGGGAGGGGAAGAGGGGAGGGAGGGGAGGGGAGGGAGGGGGAGGGAGGGGGAGGGGGGAGGGAGGGGAGGGAGGGGGAGAGGGGAGGGGAGGAAGAAGAAACAGGGATTGAAGATCCCCAGCCTTTCAGTCTCTGCGTCAGTTAGCTTTCCCTTTCTGTAACAATATACCTGAGAAAAAATTAAAAGGAGAAAAATTTTGTTTTGGCTCACAATTTCAGAGATTTCAGTCCCTGGTCACTCAGCCCTGTTACTTTGGGCCCAAGGCAAGGCAGAATATCATAGTGGGAAGTGTATGGCAGAGAAAAGCAGTTCACCTCATAGCAGCCCAGCAGGATAGCAAAAGAAGAGAAAGCAGGAGGATTGCAAGTTCAAACCCAACCTCAGCAAAGGCGAGGCACTAAGCAACTCAGTGAGACCCTGTCTCTAAATAATATACAAAAAAAAAATAGGCCTGGGGATGTGGTTCAGTGGTTGAGTGCCCCTGAGTACAAGCCCCAATACCCTCCCCCCCAAAAAAAGAAAGGACCAGAGTCCCAATATACTTTTCAAGCCATGCCTCTAGTAACCTACTTCCTCCAATGAGGCTGACCTCCTTAAGTTTCTACCACCTCCCACTAGTACCACCAGCTGGGGACCAAACACATGAACTCTCTAGGGGGCATTTAAGATCCATTCCATAACAGTTTTGTTGTAGGGACAAATGAGGCAAGTTCAAGGCACCGAAGATAGCAGGAAAGAGTTTTATTTAGCTGCAGCCAGGCTCAAAGGGCACAGCTTTTGCTGTAATCAATTAATTCCCTGAACCCCAAGTTCAGGTAGTTTCAGAGTTGTATACCCAGCATGTAAGGGAAGGGGTTCTGAAGTCACAGTCTGCAGAAGTTCACATAAAAGCAGCTTTTTTCTTTTACTATTTTGGACAAGTTAACCCTTCAAGGACAACACCTGAGAAGGGGAGAGCTTCTTCTCCCCTTTTCCTCCCCCTGCCAGCTGTTACCATGGAGCCTAACTGATAACTTATCTTAAAAATGTAGACATCTCTGTGAAGCCCAGCTCAAGGCCAGAGGCCTTGTTTGCACATTTTTACAAACTACTATACTGGATATGTTTGTAAAAAACTAGTAAGGGGTGTTCAGCACCTGGAGTGCTGGTATCTTCCCAGCCAGTGGCCAAGTAAGTCAGGGCAACACGAAATTAGGAAGTTTGTCTACATTGAACTCTTTTGCAGAGACTCTTTTGCTGACAGTCCTAAAGTCAGCCATGGTGAAGATTTCTGGAGAAGCCCAGTTAAGACTTTTCTGTGGAGAAAGGGGGTGCCACTTCAGTTTCTCTCTTCTTCCTGACTCAAAAGGTGACTGCTTGACCTAACATATACTCCCAACCTCATCACAGGTCCAAATCAATGGATTTACCTGATTTTAATCTTAAAACCTCCAGAACCATAAGCCAAATAAACCTCTTTACTTCATACATAACCTGTGTCAGGTACTTCATCATAGTGACAGAAAAGTAACTAATATAGTCAGGCACTATTTTAAGTACTTTACTTATTTCATTTAATTCCCCCAAAACCTTATGAATTAGGTGCATCTGTATAGGTAATTTTGCTGAAGCACAGTGTCTAAGTCACCAACCTAAGCTGCAAATCTTGTTGATTAGAGGTAGCGCTAAAAAAAAAAAATATTCCTTCCCTTATATTTTCATGTTTCACTATGAGAAAAATACAAGACTTAAAGAAATTAGCAGCAACTACTTACTGGAGGTTCCTCAGTTCCAAATCGACAATATGTTGAAGCACACAGCCTTTTTATTTTATCAGGACCCTCTATATCATAATCTTTGGGAAAAGCTTCTCTGTCATGTTGCCTTAAGAAAAAAAAAATTAAGAGTCCATTAAAGGATAAGTCTTATTTATCATGCATTGCACTAAAATTTTTTTAAGTTATCCAGTGAAATTTTACCATATTTGTGGCATAATTTTAATTGCAAATTTATTGAATTTGTGACAAATAAAGTATTTTCCATCTCTTTTCAAGTAATGCTGAGGCTACTTCCAAAAAGCAACTTAGCATATGTGATAAAACTAATAATATCGAAAAAGCACTACTTATCCAACACAGTAATTATTCAGCAACTCAAATGAACTGAATCTTATTTAATAATGTAGATTAGTTACCGACAGTAAATTCTAAAATAAGACATGGTAATATCTTGGAGAGGCAACTTGCCACTTTAGAAATTCTTTCTACCATGAATTTTAATTATATTTTTTCCAAAATGAGATAGCAAAGTATCTTCTCATATTGATTTATAACCCTTGCTCCCTGCTTCTAAAGAACATCTAGAGAAAGCTGACAATTAAACATAAGCAAAAAAGAAAAATAATAATCTTAAAATGTACGTGTACATGGAAGAGAGGAAAAAATATTCCAAACATCTTGACCAAAAGAGCGGCTAGGAATAATGAAAAAGGAGGAACTTGGGATAATGAATGAAAAGGAGGTGTGTCCTGGCTGCCACTAGAAATTGCTATTTTCATAAAACTTTGTTAGGTAAAATAAAGGAAGCTAAGACCAAGCTTCCCGCTGAAGGGGCCCTATTGCTCTGTGTAGTTTTATGTCTGTAATTCGAGCTACTGGGGAAGCTGAGGCAGGAAGATATCAAGTTCAAGGACAGCCTCAGCAATTTAGTGACATCCTGTCTAAAAATAGAGGGGGAGGAGGGAAAGGCCTGGGGATGTAGCTCAGGAGGGCACCCTTGGGTTCAATCCCAAGGCAGAGGGGCTTCTATTAAGGCATACATGATTAGAAATGTGTAAGAGACACCAAGAATTCATCCATCCACCAATTTGTTCATTCAGCAAATATTTTTAAGGATCTACATTGCTATGGTTTGTTTATCTTTTCCAAAATTCAAATTGGAATCTGATAGTCACCTCATGAAGAGGGATTAATGCTTCTCTCCTAGCAGTGAGTGAATTCTCAACCTCAAGGGACTGGGTTAATTTCCTAGAGAGCAAACTGATGTAAAGGCAAAGCTGCCTTTGGAGTTTTTCCTCTCAATTCCCTTCTGCTTTTTTGCTGTTATGCAGCATGAGACCAATGCCAATGAATTCACTTGATCTTGGACTCCCAGCCTCCAGAACTATGAGTTAAACAGACTTCTTTCCTTTATAAATTACCCAGTCATGGATATTCTGTTACAGCAACAGAAAATGAACTAAGATACCACAACTTGCCTGATATTTTGCGTAGTGCAGGGGATGTAACAGGAGCAAACCTGACGGAGTCCCTACCTTCAGTTACTTACAGTCTGGTCAGAAGCAGAGGCAATGAAATAAGAAAAGTCTACAATGTGGTGAGTGTGGAAGCACCCAGCACCCAAGTCATGAGACTCTCCTCCCATGCTCTTTTTGTCCTGAGCTCTCAACTCATTCCTGCCTTGGCTCCCACCTCAGCATGAGAGCAGAGTACTGCCATGGAACCCACAGCCCGGAGGCCCGAGGTGGCACAGCAGGCAGAGTGCCAGCACGGGAGCCTTCTTCTATCCTCTTATTTGAGCATCAGATTGCAAACGCTAAAAGGTTTTGAGTAACCTAACAACATTTTATGAGAACTAACAGGGAGCTTTCACTTAAGTCCTTAGTGAAGAGTTCTGAACATCAACAACCAAAAGTGGTAGAATGAAGAGTCATGGATCTGAGTCATTGCTAAGCCAGGTCCTAGCTGTGTGACCTTAGGAAGGTCACTTAACTTTTCCATGTTTTCATTTTCACATTTGTAAAATGATTACAAGAATAATAACAATATCTTTTCACTTTTTAATAAGAATTAAAATTTTAAAATAAAGGAAAAAGTCCTTATATGCTATGAAGCATTATGAATATCTGTGTCTAGTGAATACTAATCAGGCTTCAAAATCTAGTATCCAACAATTACAACTTTATTTTTTCCATAAGTGAACTTAATTTCTTTTCCAAGCTCTTATTGGGCCAGATGGGCAAACCTTGATCTTGGTCAATTCAGGATTTCTTCCATCTCTGTGTGGTGCTGTGACACCAAAAACCCCATCTTTGTTGTCACTGATTCTCCCCACCTACATCTGAGGACGTATCCTCTGCCTTCCTGGTCTCCCATTAGGGATTCATTCATGAGATGGAACATTTTGTCATATATCTGTTAGCCATGTATATGTCTTCTTTTGAGAAATTCTGTTTAGATCTATTACCCATTTTCTAAATCAGACTATTTGTTTCTTTGTTATTGAGTTTTTTTAAAGCTCTTTTTATACTCTGGATAGTAACCTTTCTTAGAGGTTTAGTTGGCAAGTATTTTCTCCCATTTTATGGGTTGTCTCATCATCTGTTTGTTTCCATTGCTGTGTAGAAGCTTTTTAGTTTGGTGTAATCCTATTTGTCTACATTTGCTTCTGTTTCCTGTGTTTTTGGAGTCTTGTCAAAAAAAAAAAAAAAAAATCCTTGTCCATTTCAATGTTCTGAAATGTTTCCCCTGTTTTCTTCTAGAAGTTTCTTGTGTTACATTTAAATGTTAAATCCATTTTGAGTTGACTTTTGCCACTGGTGAGTGATAGGGGTCTAGTATCGTTCTTCTGCATGTGGATATCTGTTAAGGTCTGTAAACAAGTCTGGATGGCGCCTGGCATTTTGCCAGAGGGAGTGGTTTGTGAAGTAACGCCAACGAGCCATTAAGTGTGGAGATTCCTTATTGGTTGACTGATGTATCTAGTTTATGTTAATTAAGATAAGCTGTGTGGAATGTATAAATACCTCTGTTGTCCTACAATAAACGGCTTCCACTCCTGCTGTATTGATCTACACAAGTCGTTTGTCACTCCCCCGTTATTTTGCTGCAGCCGGACTGCGGCAGATATCTAGTTTTCCCTTACTGAAAAGACTTCTTTCTCATCTCCTTTCTCATTTTTAATGCTTCTAGTAATTCTCTAAATTGAAGTTCACAATACATTAAGAGGTTGAAACCATAGTTTGAAAAATATTGCTCTAGACCAGTGGTTCTCAGTTGAGTTTGGGATGGGGATCTATTTGTACCCATACCCTCCATGGACCTCAAGCAATAAAGACATTTGTTAACATTTGTAGAAATTTTCAGTTGTAGCATCTGAATTGGGTGGCTTTCTACCAGCATCTAGTAAGTAGCTGCCAATGATACTGCTAAGCATCCTAAAATGCCCAGGCAGTGACCCACAACACACACATAGCTAGCTCCAGGTGCCAATGGTGCTGAGGTTGAGAAAGCTCTGGAGAATAGTGGCACCTCAGACACTTGAATCACTGGTTCCCAAACCTGAGTGCTTCACCAAGCAGCCAAACTTCCCCCTAAAATGGGTGGGACCAATATAAGGCTGCCAACTTTTTGTTTTGACAAGAATATTCAAAATAAACTAATCACCTGTATCCTTTAATAAAAAGATCTGTAATGCCAAAATGTCAGTAAAAACAATCCCACCGTCCTTCAAATTGAATAAATCTAGCAATATGAAAAATGTGCTACATTGTCATCACAGCTGGTTTATCACTTTGGATTAGTCAAAAGGTCCTCATTGACTACCACTGGTCAAGTCCACAGTGTTTTGCAGATGTTAATTCATCCTGATATGAACTTGACAGGAGCTGGTCAGAATTTGTTCAAGGCCAAAGATGCTTGGATATAGGTATTCTATGCTGCTTACTGAGGAAGCATGGTGTCTTAGAGGTCTGGTGGTAGGTACAGGGTCTCATTCTAGCTGGAAGGAGGGCCTTTGGGGTTTCTTGTCTATAGCACCAAAATTTTTCTTGAGAAACAGGCTTGCTTCTGTTGACAGTCTTTTTCTATCAAAGCCCAGAGCAGAATGAGATGGCTTTTTCTTAAGATAAATCCTCACCCAAGATTTCCTGAAAGGCCAGTAGATGAAACTTGTTTTCTCTAACCTTCTATGAGAGAAAGAGTATGATCATTCTTTTTTTTTTTTTTTTAGAGAGAGAGAGAGGGGAAGAGAGAGAGAGAGAGAGAGAGAATTTTTTTAAATATTTATTTCTTTTTTTTTTTTTAGTTATTGGCGGACACAACATCTTTGTTTGTATGTGGTGCAGAGGATCGAACCCGGATCGCACGCATGCCAGGCGAGCGCGCTACCGCTTGAGCCACATCCCCAGCCCCGTATGTTCATTCTTTAAACAGAGTTTATGAGAGTCCATTGTTTTGAATTAGCTCTCTGCACCAAGCCCCAGCAGACCAGGCCAATCTAAAATGGACTCACTTGTGCTTAACACTACATAATGCAACTGAACTTTGAAATGTCCAGATTTCCGAAAACACAGGAGGACTCCAAGTCCACCCAAGTCAGCATTACATGGGAGTCCCCTTTGTCTAAACCCCATAAGGAAAGTGACTTTTGAAATGATTCATCTGCTTTTTTATTCTGTTTTTGCTTTCTTCAACTCTTTTCTGCCTAGAAAAACAATTCTCTGCTCAGCTCAATGGAACAGTTATTCTACCTCCTAGAAAGATATTGAGAAAGATATTGCCTGATTCTAGAATTACAAATAAAAGCCAATTCGACCTTTAAACTGAATCTATTATAATTTTGTGTTTTAACATTATTCATAGAATTAGGAATGTGGAACAAGATGATGGGAGAGAATCCAAGCTTCAGACTGCATAAAATGGAATCTGAAATTCTGACCCTATTGTTGAAATGCTAATCGGAACAATTTAAAGAGAGTTATATACAATAGACACCAATAGGACAAAGACCAGCACAAGCCTGTCTCATTCTGGACAAACACCCAACCTAACGGGTAGTAAATCACTTCCAGGCCCCAAACCTACATTCTTCTGGACCCTCCAGAC